CACTGGGCGGGGTTCCGCGGCCCCGGGCCAAGGGGGGGGGCGAGAAGCCGTGGCCAGCACATCGCTCGCCCGCGCCGCTTCTCGCCGCCCCCATTGGCCCGGGACGGCGAACCGTGTCCAGTGGGGGCCGCGATCGGCCGAACCTGCCGCGTCAGCAGGTAAATAAAACTGGCCCGGCCCGCCAGGGTGCTTACCCTGGCGAGCCGAACGTTGCCGACCCCCTGCCTTAGTCCATCCCATGCTTTGCTGCACGGTGGGCTACCCACATTTGCCATCCTTGCCGGTCAACTGCCATTCTCTCCAAATCTTCCCATTTGAGGTGCTGGATGTCGTTCAGAACTGTTCGTTTCCATGTTATTCACGGTCTTCCGGCTTCCATTCAAGGGCGGTATATGGTAAGCATTCTTTTTCCATTCTGAGCCCATGTCCCAGTCACTGAGGTCTTCTTTTGTAGAGGATTTGGGAGAGGGTGCCTTATCCAGTCATTTTTCTGACTTCATGTGTCTTCCTATATCTCTGTATGTTATTCCCAATATTCTTCTCAGACATTTGTGATGAAATGCATCCAGTTTTAGCATATCTTTCCTGGTAAGTTGCTATGTCTCACTGATATATGAGCTGATGGCGATAATTCACATTCAGTTTGGTCTTGAGGGAGATGTTTTTGAGTCTTCTAAATGCAGCGTTTGCCTTCCCGATTCTTATTTCCTCGGAACTAGTACCATCTTGGCTGATGGTACTTCCAAGATACATAAAATTGTCCACCTTCTCCAGTTTCTTCTTCTATTTTGATTTCTGTCCCTGTAGTCTCCATTAACAAGACTTTACATTTCTTTGCATTCAGTGTTTCCCAAACTTGTTCCACTGCTTGTGCAAGGAAAGCCCCTGGCAGGCCGGGCCAGGCCAGGTTGTTTATCTGACGCGTCCGCAGGTTCGGCTGATCGCGGCTCCCAGTAGCCGCGGTTCGCTGCTCCAGGCCAATGGGAGCTGCTAGAAGCGGCGCAGGCCAAGGAACATACTGGCCACTGCTTCCAGCAGCTCCCATTGGCCTGGAGCAGCGAACCGCGGCCAGTGGGAGCCGCGATCAGCCGGGCCTGCGGACGCAGCAGGTAAATAAACTGTCCCGGCCCA